CAAATGTGTTGTTGTATTCCTTGACGCATTGTTAGACCAGAGTTCCCTCAGCTTGTGGTGGCGCAGGACTGAGTCCCCATTTACACCACTTGGTTTCCTTACGAAGGCATCCTGCGAGGGAACATTGCAATGTAGGCCACTTGGTGGAAAGGACACATAGCCACAGTTATCAGGGTGATAACCGGGGTGTAGATCCACCAGAGGAAACCATCCCTGGAATCAGCTGCACAGCCTTTGTTATACTGTATTCCAGCATTGTTGTGGAAAGCAAAGCAGTGCCAAGGCTGGTTCTAAACAGCTGCGTAAATTGCACTGATTCCTATTCACAACTCTGCACAGCTGATTACTCGCAGCAAAAGAGACACACTGCTCATCTTCATTGTTCTGTGACTTCTGACATCAGTGACAAAGAGAACCCTGTGTGATGGCTGCTGATATTGTCAAAGGGATTATTTGATCTGAGGTCCGTCTAGACAGAAGTACTTTCGCAATTAGCACAATCGTAAAAGTAATTCATTAGGGATTCTCTGCAAAGACTCATCTGAGGGTGGAATGATTCTAGACAGTGGAGTGCATTCATTAATAAATACACCGCGCCAATGGAGAAGAGGAACTATTCAAATCAAGCAAGGTTTCAGATCCCCTGTGGCACTCACTTCCCGAGATTTCCCACTGGACAGCAAGCTGTTGATCCTAGGATATCATTGGGTACGGATCAGTTACTGAATGACAGGCAAGGTACAATCGGAGGGAAAGGCAAACTATTCATTCACCTCGCGGCTGTTTGGGGATCTTGCCTTGCACAAATTGACTGCTATGTTTGCCTACTAAACTAATTGCTCCTCTTGACTCTAGTTACTGAAAAGTTCCTTGAGATATTTAGACATGATACTGAGCTCAAAATATATGTTCTTTTATTGCTTCATGGGTGAAATGATCTACTTCCAATGGAATATTTCTTTTTGGCTAGCCACGTGCCTGACGAAAGTGGAAACCCTTAAGAATATATTCACACCAGACTGAGAGTTCCAAATACTACGTATGCTACGTACTCATGGAAATTTCTCTGTCTCAGGAATGGAAACGCGGATGGTTTCCCTGGAGGGATACACTCTGCTTATCTGATTCAGAAGTGAGGCATTAATTAGGGTTGCCAACTCCAAGATTAAAAAAAAAGGGCCACTGGCCTCGGTGGGTCCCGTAGGCACCATCTTGGTAAAACCATTGTGTGCAATAGTGGCAAGAGGGTGGCCATCTTAGTAAAGGCAGTACATGGGGGCTGGGGGTGGGGGAAGGGCGAAGACAGGTGGACACTCACACATCCCGGTATGATCACTGTAAATCAAAAGCACATTAAATCTTTTCCCCGGCAACCGACAAGGCAGTACAAAACAAAGCCCAGACTGGCTGAACAAACACGGCCAGGTGGCAACTCCATTATGATTAGAAATCTGCGCACAGAATAGAAAAAAACACAATCAGCACTCGACAAAGCAATTCCCTGCAGCGAGTAAACAAGGCATGTTAACCTTTCACTCCATATTACTCGGCACATACCTCTCGCCTTGATTTTTCCAATGCCTTCTTTGCTGGTCTCTCCAGCTCCACCACTCATAAAATTCAATTGATTCAAAACTCCACCGCATGTATCCTCACCTATACCACACTTCACACCTCCATCACCCCAGTCCTTACCAAGTTTCACTGGCATCCTATTGTAGAACCTATTGTTTTCAAGATCTTCATACTCACCAACAAAGTTACATTTGTATAGCGCGCTGGACAGTCAGAGTTTCGGAACCGAGCTGGGGGTTGGGTTCGGGGAGAGTGGAGGGCAATGGGGGATGCAGGGTGATCAAAAGCATGGTCGAAGAGGAGGGTCTTGAGATGGGTCTTGAAAGAGGCAAGGGAGGGGGCGAGGGGGAGGGACTTCGGGATGGAGTTCCAGAGGGTGAGTGCAGAGTGGCAGGAGGCCCGCTGCTGATAGTGGGGTGAGTGAGGCGGGGGACGTGAAGCAGGCCGGAGCCCACTGAGCGGAGGGTACGAGCAGGATGGTAGGGGGTTAGGAGGTCGGAGAGGTAGGGGGGAGCAAGACCATGGAGAGCTTTGAAGGTGAGAACCAGGATCTTGAACTGTGCCCTCTGTGTGATGGGAAGCCAGTGGAGTTGGGCAAGGATGGGGGTGATAGGGTCGCGGAGCCTAGTGCGGGAGAGGACACAGGCTGCAGAGTTCTGGATGATCTACAGCCTGTGGAGGGAGGAGTTGGGGAGGCCGACAAGCAGTGAATTTGCGTAGTCGAGCCTTGAAATAATGAAGGCGTGTATGAGGGTTTCAGAGGCCTGCGGTGTGAGACAGTGGCGGTGCCGGGTGATGTTACAGAGGTGGGGGAAGGCAGATCGGGACATGGCGCAAATGTGGTGTAGAAAGGATAGTCGAAAGTCAAACAAGACCCCAAGGTTCCGGACTGGCTTAGCAAGGTGGAGCATGCAACCATGGATGATGATGCTGTTATCAGTGCCTGAGATGCGGAGGCGCTGACGGGAGCCAATCAGGAGATCCTCGGTCTTGTTGAAGTTCAACGGAAGAAACTTAGCTCTCATCCAGGACTTGATGTCTGACAGACATTCTGTCAGGACAGCAGTGGTCCTGGGAGTCAAGGGTGGAGGCAGAAAGGTACCGTTGGGTGTCATCCGCATACATGTGGAAGCCCGATTGGAGGGGTTCGAGAAGGGAGTGGTGGGAAAGGAAGGAGCGAAGCTGAGAAGCAACAACTTGTTCTAGGACCTTGGAGAGGAAGGGGAGAGTTGGAGATGGGGTGGTAGTTAGAGAGTAGAGAAGGAGAGTTTTTTAAGGATCCAGGGAGAGTTTTTTAAGGATAGGAATGATGACAGTGGTTTTTAAAAGGGTGGGAACAGGACCAGAGGACAGGGAGAGGTTAACAATGTCAGTGAGTGGAAAGGCGAGGAGGTGGAGCTGGGAGGTAAGGAGGGGGGTAGGCATGGGATCCAGGGAGCAGGTTTCATACAGTTATGGTGGTGATGAGAGAGGAGGGGGAGACGGGTTCAAAGGTGTGAAGGGAGGGGTGGGTAGAGGCGGTTAAGTATTTAAGTATTTAATATTTAAGTATTATTACAGTATACTTTGGAGTATTGTTCTAACCAACATAAACATGACTACTCTGCAGAGAATGATGTTAAACTGGTTTTTAGAACAATATTGTGACATTAAGGTGGTGCCCTTACACCAAATCCTTTAAATTTCATTTTTGCAGTCACATTCACCTGTAATATAAGCAGGCCAGTGGGATTGAATTGGATTGCTCTTTTTGGAGCTGGCGCAGACATAATAGGCCGAATGGCCTCTTTCTGTGCTGCATGATTCTATGATTCTACGATAATATACACAGGCACAATATACACACAAAGGGTGTGAACCGCTTTGAGAAGTTTCACCAACATGACAAGGCACTATATCAAATTCCAAAGCTTATTATTATTGTGTAGTTCAAGATCCTGGTCCTCACTTACAAAGCTCTCAATGGCCTCTGTGACATCCTAACCCCCTACCAACCCGCCGGTTCCCTCCACTCAGCCAGCTCCTGTCTGCTCCACCTCCCCCGACCCACCCACCCCACCATTGGCGGGAGAGCCTTCAGCCACTCTGCCCCCAACCTCTGGAATTCCATCCCCCAATCATTCCACCTCGCCCCCTCCTTAAAATCCCGCCTCAAAACCCTCCTCTTCAACCATGCCATAGGCCACCTCCCTTCTCTCTCCCCCCCTCACCGCCACACAACCCCAGCTCGGGTCTGAAATACTGTACACTGGGACATCCTGACGACGTGAAACGCACGACACAAAGGTAATCTTGTTGTTGTGGTCGTGCACATTCCACCACCGGGGAGCCAAACGCTGTCGCAAAGACGGGGCGGGCGTTTCTGCCTTTGGTTCTTTACTGGTGACAGGGTGCAAAGTTGCAGGGTGAGGCGGTGGGGGGAGGGAAATACAAGCTGGAGAGGCAGAGAGAAACAGGGACAGACCACTGGGAACGCGCCTGGACACTGCATTCAATGAAACCAGAGGGCTGCGTGGAGACAGTCACGTTCCCACCTTCCAGCTGTTTCTGTTTACCTTTTGTATCCATTTGTAGGGGCGTAACGCCGTCACGGCGGAGGGGGGCGTGACGCGATGACGTAAGGAGGGAGGGAGGGGGGCGTTACGCGATGACGTAGAGGAGGGCGGGAGGGGGGCGTGTGGCGGGATGACAATAGGAACGTTGACGTGGAGTGTTGACGTGAGGCTGGAAGAGTGCGTGGTGACGTTTTTTTTTGGGCGGGCTCTCGCGCCTGCTTCGCAGCCCAACCGCCATTTTGTGACGGTTATTTTTTCCCCCTCCTCTCTCCTCCTCAGGGGTGGGGGGACGGACGAAAAAGGAGGAGGGTTTGGTCGAGAGGTTTGGGAGCGCCGCCCTTACCCTCGCACTCCGGCTTCTCTTTCCTCACAGTTGCACGACGACGAGGAGGAGGAAGAGAAAGAAGCGTTCGCGGTCGTGTTTTCGGTTTTTTTTGTGTGTGTGTGTGAGAGAGAGAGGCGCCACGCGGGTGTTTTTTTTTCCCCTCTCGATTTGATTTTTTTTCCGCGTGTGTGTGATATTACCTTTTGTAATTTTGGCCAAAAAAAAAGAAAAGAAAAGGAAAGGAAAGAAAAGAAAGGGAGGGCTGGTGGTGGTGGTGGTGGTGGCGGTGGGGGGACGACGAAAAAAAATCGGATTTAAAGTCGATATAATCTGTCAACAATACCCTTTTTTTTGTGTGTGTGGTGTTGTGTGTGTGGAAAAGCCACGTCGAGGGGATTTTTTTTTGCCCTCAAAAAAAAACTTATTTTTTTAAAAAAAGATATACCACACACACACGGGTATATATATATAGGTAATTACACACACACACACATATATATATTATATATAATAATTATATATATATATACACACACTTTTTTTTCCAAAAAAAAGCATACGTGTCGTTTGTAGGAACCAAACCCCCTTAAGTTTCTCCTTAGATGGCCAGCTTTCCAGAATTTGTCAACCAGAATGAACTAGGTAAGTCAGCCAAGCAGAGCGCCGATGAAACGGGGCGGCGTTGCCTTCTTCCACTTGGGAATGTTTCGCGTATGTTTTATTCCACCGCGCGATCAGCGTGGCTCTCTTCCCCCGCCCCGCCACCCCCGCAAATAATATCCAGTCGATTTATTTTACAGTGCATTCTGCGAAGCGCTTTGAGACGCCTCGGAAGATGTGACGAGGTGCTACATCGACTGCTAAAGGATTATTGTCATTGTTGTAATCCATAATCTCTTTGTGTTTCGTAGCTCCGATGCGTGGAGCTCTCCAGTCTTGTTTCGGTTCCTCTTTTTAGCCTTTAAGCCCTGTTGTGATGGGTATCTGCATGTGTTCACACAGACACACACACACACACACACACCAGTCTCACCGAAGCAAAATTTCTCCTCTCTTTTGTCGCCCTCTTCTTTTTCCTATTTGCCTTTCCTTTTCGTCCGCGGTTTTTGCATCGGAAAAAAAAAGCTGCCAAAAGTTGAGCACGTTTCTTTTTCCCTGAATTGTTCTTAAAACCGAAGCTGCGCCACATTTTGTGTCTTGCAACCAGCCCCTCAAACGTTTTGGGCTTTTAATTTTTCTACTTCCCTACATTTTTGTTTTAGTCTTTTTAAAAAAAAGTTGTAGTTACTGTCTCATGTTTGGTTTACCTTTTGCTTTTTCCTCTTTTGCTGTTTGTGGAAAGAAAATGTGTGCTGCTTTTGCGTTTTAACCGCTCCCACTCACCCACCCATCATTTAGGGTTTTAGTTTTCCGTTATATTTATCCCCTATCTTTTTTCTCTCTCTTTAATTAAACGGGTTGGTTCCTTTACGAAGTCTGCAGTTTGCGAGCATTACTTGGCTCATTTAAAAAAAGTGTTTGCGTGTGGTTAATTTCTAGTCAGCAAGGCAATTTATTTGTGAGATTTTAGTGGGAAAAGTTCAGTATGATTTTAGTGGAAAAGTTCAGTGTTTTTGTATGATGGTCTGGATTTTTTGGGGGGGCGCGGTAAAGGTGATGTCTGCATACTTTGCATTTATTGTAATGAGGTTGGCAGACATTGCTGATCATGCATTCGTCATGTCTGCAACGTCTTTTTTGTCTACTTTCAGACTTATTTTTTCACTCCCTTTCGCCGATTGATGTCTAACTAACCATAAAACTCAATGAGAACTGTGCAAGTTGGTGGTCTGAAAAGGCTGCATAGTGCATATTCCTGAAGTTTTGAAAGTGGGAGGAAAGTCAGATTTTTAATTATGTGATGTGTCCTTTGGGTTACTTAAATTGAAAGGAAATTTTAATATTACATACCAGCTGTACATATTACGTACTCATGGTAGATTTCAGAATTTGAGGTTTTCAAAAAAAAATCTGGATTCAAACAATAGTCTTTTGTGGCATTAACCAAAACTATAAAACTGTAAGTTAAAGGGTATTGTTAAAAAGTAGTTGTCATCTCCCATTCCACATTTTTATTCAATGACAGCACTTATCCCTGGTTGCATCAACTCTTATATTTAAAAGGTAGGCTAGAATGTAACTGTTAAATTTTGAGATTTATTTACAGTATAAAGTTGTGTGTTGTTGGACTAAAGTGTTAATGTCTGTTTACTTGTTCAGAGTAATTTTTTTATAAAACTTGTGTAAGCTTGGTCTGGCAATTTGCACACGTGTCTTTGAGTCAGAAGTTTGTGTAACTTGATGCTTCATTACACTAATGGGGAAGGCATTTGAAAAATGAGTCCTGGTGACTTCAGCAGAAAAGCTAATTTGAAAACCTATCTGATTTGGGTTGGTGCTCTTGTTAGCGTGCAGTCTCCTGAGCATTGCAGGTAATGTTCCTGAAGTGCTCATTAACAATAATTCTTGCCTATGTAAAAGCATTTTGCAGATACTAATGTCAAGGGTACTATTTGCAAATACTATGTGTGGCAGCAAGCTCCCACAAACTTATTTATTGGAGGAAATATGAATAGTGAGTTGATCACTTTCATTCTGCTCAGTTGGCTCTACTTGCTTTTCACTCACCAGCGGGTTGAATTCAAGATCCTTGTCCTTGTTTTAAAATCTCTCCAGGTGCTCAAGTCCGCCTTACCTCTGTGATCTATAATCCAACCTGGCTGCTCTCCACTCAGCTAATCACGGGTCTGTGTCATGTCTTCTACCTAGTCTGCCAATTTCAGCTATTCTGTCCCTGCTCTCAGGAAAATCATGCTGGGGTCCCTCTGCCTCACTCCTCACAACCTACATTTAAAGCATGTCTTTAGATGCATCTTTTCAACTGCCCATTTCCTTCCCCATTTCAGCTTGGGTGCCCAATCAGCCATGTGAAGTGATTTTAGTTTTTAAGTGAGTACACAAACAGCTGTGTGAGGTTAATTTTTAAGTGATGGGTATAGTCCATAAATAGTAACGGTTTCCTGCAATCCAATGAATTTTCTTTGCATAATTCAAGCATTTATTTTTATTTGGAGACTTGTCAGACTAAGCTTGGCTGTATATAGTACTTTGAAGATTTCTATACAAAATAGTCCAAGAATAAGTGTCATGGCATCTAATGAAATCAAGAGTAAATACTGTACTTCTGTTCACAAGATTGAACATTGTCCTAAGATCTTGGGTCGTGAGTTTGACAACTGTAAACAACGAGAATTGTACAAAGTTCTTTGTGTGCCTGTGGAAAACAGTTTTCTTCTAAATTGATGTGCCTTTTGTTTAATTTGTCATACTCTTGAGTTGTCAGAAAGCTTCACTGAATAATTCTCTTTTTGATGAACGAAGTCAGCTGTCACTTTTAGAAGGAAGCTGCAGAAGGTTTTGCTGCTACCAGCATAGTATGCATACAGTTCAAATTTCACATTCAGTCATCTGCTTCTCGGGATACTTTTGACCTTACGGTTACAGTATGTGCTTATGGTCTTGGCAAACACAATAACTGCTGTGAAGATGACATCACTTCCTTTTTGTAAATGAAACAAATGGGCCTTGGTGGTGTACATCATTATCTAACTTCACGAGTTGCTGAATTCAACAAAGGTCTATTATTCAGAACTTCATGTTTTTTTTTATGCAGCACAGTCTCAGCTAATCACCGACCTTTGGACACCTGCTGCTCCATTTGAACCCAAATCGGGCCGTGAAACATGGACTGTTGCTTTTGCACCTGATGGGTCGTATTTTGCTTGGTCTCAGGGTCATCGTATAGTCAAGTTAGTTCCCTGGTCTCTCTACCTAAATAAGTGAGTATGCCTTCAGATTAAATTTAATTGTAATAAAAAATAATTTAAGTATAGTTTACGCGGCTGCTGAAATGAGGAAAACTCTTCTGTAACGTTATTAATGCAATATTTACTATTTTTGGTCCCTTTTACATAATTTATGTATGTACTCAGTGCACAAAAATTGCTTTATAAGGAATCTAGTCATAGTGCACTATTTGAAACACACAAAACAATTCAGGAAGGGATTGAGAAGAGTTGATTTCTCAAAGACTTGGAAACCAACTGGGTTCGATGACTTGATGCTGGAACATGTGCTGAATTGTGTGTGATTTTATCTTAAAATTGATACGGTAATTAAATAAATATAAAAGGATCCTTGCATTTGATATGGCATCTTTCAAGACTGGTGGATGACTTAACCAAAGTGATTTAGTGTAAAATGTAAATGACTGCATTTTGCAGGCAAAGCAGAGGCTTTCCTTGGGTGAAATCCAAGAGATAGCTGACAAATTTGCGTTCAACTGCATTACGATGGGTATTCCCATTAGGTAAAACAAATTCCTAGGTACACTTTTGGTAATTAGTTCTGTGATCATGATTGAACAGAAATTAGTTTATTTACCTGTGTAATATTACAAAAAGGACGAAACGTTTTGAGATTTGTTTTTGTACATTAGGTAATACAACAGAAAAAAAGTGATCCCTTATCCTGAAATAGTGGGGAAATAATTGCTTAAATTGTATGTTGAATAATTCAGACTATGAAGATAATTCATGTTTAGTTACTAGCATCTGTTGAGTTAGCTGATCTACTTGGACACAGCTGGGGTACACCATTAAATAGAGAATTCCCACTGGGGATTGGCATCAATCTGTTGACACTGCCGCACAGCATGCCGACTGAAACTTGCCATTGGCCTTTACACTTAAGAGTGAAGAAAGATGAGAAGTATATTCTGTGAAACACTTTGAAACGTCTTGAAGACGTGATAAGGTGCTGCATCAAATGCAAGAATTATTATTAAGAAAGTATGGCTTTAAATTTGTGTGCAAGTGCTTATTCAGGCAAAAGTTAGTTTAGAGATTGTGGTAGCCACAAAATATTAACTTGTTCTGTTTAACCTTATGAACTGCACAATCCTCCATACACGTGTAGGTTTTTGTGTAAGTAAATGTTTGCAACAAAGTTAAGTTGGTGGTATGGTATACTTTTACATTGCTGCTCAGATCAAAATTGATTTGGGATTTAGTGGGAAGCTCTTACAAGTGAGTTTACTTGTACTGAGTACATTCAGTAACATTGTGATGATGGGAACTTCATGTTACTGCAGCAGTCGGTTTGAAGAAATGTATCTTTGTCATATACACACAATGTCTTTCATTCTGGAAAATGGCTTGCAGCCTGTTTGCAAAATAAGTACTGTACAATTAATTAAAATGAGAAATTTCGCATGTTATGGGCCAGAGGATACATGTGACTTAAGTGTAAACTTGTTGTGTTTTATAATTAATAAATAATTTATTATTATTATAATAAATTTATAATTTATAATTAATTAAATAATTCACCTATTTTTTAAAAAATTTAATACCTGGACTTTAATATTTGTTGCAGTTTTGTTGGCATATTGTATGAAGACCATATAACGTTACTTAAATTTGATTTTATAAATGTGAATTATCCAGTTGTGCTAATTGTTTTGATGCTAGCTTTGTTTCTTTTGCTTTTTTTTAGGTTGTCAAATAGAAGCAATAATGTCGTTGATAGGAATTTCAAAAGGCAGAACAGCGATGGTCAGAGAAACGTGGCAGAGGAGCATGTTATAGATTGTGGCGATATTGTATGTGGTCTTGCTTTTGGTTCTTCTGTACCTGAGAAACAGAGTCGCTGTGTGAATGTTGAATGGCATCGATTCAAGTTTGGTCAAGATCAGCTCCTGCTGGCAACTGGGTTGAACAATGGACGCATCAAAATTTGGGATGTGTACACCGGTAAATTTTGATATTTTAAACTTCTTTTTCCCCCCCGCATAATAAAAGTTTGACCTATGAAGGCAGTCACTCACAGAGTATGTTTCTCTGACTGCTTTGCTTCTCGCTTCACAAAATATAGTTGATTTAGTAATGTCATGTTGTATAGGTAAATGTGCCGTTAATCTGTGCTAACAAGCTAAACAACCAATTTATTTGAAAATTAGGATATGAGGGGAATACAACAGCAACAACAAGGCGCTGGACAGACAGATTTACAGACCCGAGCTGAGGATCGGGGTGGGGGAGGGTGGGTGCAGAGTGGCAGGAGGCCCGCCCACTGATAGTGGGGCAAGCAAGGCGGGGGACATGAAGCAGGCCAGAGCCCGCTGAGTGGAGAGAGCGAACAGGATGGTAGGGGATTAGGAGGTCGGAGAGGTAGGGGGAATCAAGACCGTGGACGGCTTTGAAGGTGAGGACCAGGATCTTGAACTGTATCCTCTGTGTAATGGGAAGCCAGTGGATTTGGGCAAGGATGGGGGTGATAGGGTCAAGGAGCCTAGTGCGGGAGAGGACACGGACTGCAGAGTTCTAGATGATCTGCAGCCTGTGAAGAGAAGAGTTGGGGAGGCCGACAAGCAGTGAGTTTACATAGTCGAGCCTCGATGTAATGAAGGCGTGTATGAGGGTTTCGGTGGCCTGTGGTATGAGATAGTGTCGTAGCCGGGCGACGTTGAGGAGGTGGGGGAAGGCAGAGCGGGTCATGCTACGAATGTGGGGTAGAAAGAATAGTTGATGCTCGAACAAGATCCCAAGCTTCTGGATTGGCTTAGCAAGGTTGAGTGTGCAACGTGGATGGTGATATTGTCAGCGTCTGAGGTACCAAATTTTAAAACAGTTACAAACCAGATTAACTGGGCCTAATTACTTGCGGTTGATCTTATTATTCAAAATGGGAAGTGTGCCAGTTCCTGATAACTTTTATAGCATCTGGCTGGAAACAGCTACTTCATTTTAACAGTTTTCTTTTTCTCTCCAAAAATAGTAATTCTGTACAGTCATAGTAAAAAGTTAAAAAGTAATTTGGATGTTTGGCGTGTGTTGGGTTTGATCGGCATTGGAGATGGTCTATCTCATGCAATCTTTTGAAAACTTTCAATCTATTCTTGCAGGTAAATTCCTTCTTAATTTGATGGACCACACTGAAATTGTCCGTGATGTGACTTTTGCACCAGATGGCAGCCTTATCTTAGTATCTGCGTCAAGGGATAAAACTCTTAGGGTCTGGGATCTTAAGGATGATGGTGAGTAATGTTCAACAGCTGATAACTATAAAACAACGTATTGGTTTGAGGGGAATGTGCAGGAATTCAGGGCAGTGCTTGAACATGTCTTGACTTGAGACTAGTTCGTCCATGTAATTGTGTCTTAACTACCTGAAGTTGATCTGTCATGTATTCCAAACATAAGTATGCCTCTGTTGCATCTTTTGGCGTCGACTGACTTCCTTATTTTTGATCTCTTTCCTCACAGATTGTTCTGAAACTTCATTAGGTTCCAATTTATTCTGGTCTGGCTTGGTCATCTTCAAAACATTTGACTCTTTGTTATCCATTTGATCTTTTGCAGGAAATATGGTGAAGGTACTGAAGGGGCATCACAGCTGGGTGTATTGCTGTGCCTTCTCCCCTGATTCAACCATGCTCTGCTCTGTTGGGGCCGGGAAACCGGTATGTATAAACGTTCCTACTTTTATTTTTTTTGCATTATTGCATTGAAATGTTAATAACTTAGTGTGAGTGCTTTGATTTTGTACCTTAAACTGAATCAACATAATCCTCAATTTTAGCCCTTGCCTTTTATGTTTTATTTCCCCTTGTGTGCATATCTCTCTCACCCCCCACCCCCAAGTAACAATTGTGCTGCGAAGTATGTACAACTCACTGTATAAGTCTTAAAATTACTCGTAGATTTATGTTTTACTGTTTTTTTTTCCTTTTAAAGCACATTAGAGTGCCAACAATCTGGCGGGGGGGGGAAGGAAATGCTTTTTTATAATTTCCTAGTTCATTTTTTTTGCTACAGAGCTTCAACATAGTACCTTGTTGAGCCTGATAACGGTTTGACTATTGGATGTGAATTTGTATTCAACGTGATTCAGTAAGACTTTTTTCTGATTTTTTTGATCCTTTTGGACCAATGCGACAGGTCCTGACATCAACACTAGTTTGTATTCTGTAACTAACACTCTCCTTGTTGCCATTCAAGTTTCTTTCTTGAATAATTTTTCGTATTCCTGCCTCGAAATTCTTTGCTTGCGTTTTACTTGCTGTTTTATTGTCGTGCACAGTTTTCTTTAAGAAGTTACCTTCTTCACACCTTTTTATGAAAACACAAATCTGAATCCACTGGTCCATCAAGTCACTGTAAAATATTCTACTAATAATAGATCTCTAATTATTTGCATAGTAGCTTTTTCTTTTTCTCCATTTAGTGATTCTGGCCAAAAGGGCTGACTATTGCTCTAAGACGTCTGCCAGTGGTGCTTTGCAGTTGTTTAATGTGGGGGGTGAGGGGGGAGGGGGAAAAGAAGACCTTAACTGTTCCAGATTGACTCCCTTTAATTTGTTTTCTTGCAAGCCCCGCCCCCGCTTTCCCCACACACATATTCACTTCCCATTTGTGTGCCGAGTAGTCCTGAGAACTTCCCCCAGTAGTTAGACGCAAATTGGGAATTCAGTTCTGTCTGGGTAGTTGGTGAATACTTGGTGCCTCTTAGTTGCACAGTTTGTTAAGAGTGTGACATTCTGCACAAGCCAAACAAGATAAGTTTTTTTTAATTGTACACAATGTCCTAAACTGGTTCTTAACATTTTAATACATTGAAAACTTCAGTTGAAGTGCATTTGAAGGTGAAGTGAGAATTGTGTTCATATTGTCTTGTAATTGTACATTTTTTAAAGAGATCTTGCGGATAAGGTTTTCAAAACCTGCTTTGTAACACATCCCATTTTCTTGCAATTGAGATGGTAGATGCATGACTTACTGTCACCAGTGCCTCTTGTAGCTGGATGTAAGGTCTGCCTTGCCTTGTTTTTCCCTCTTTGTTGGGGAAATGTCACAGCCTTTATTTTACTCTGCACATATGGAAAAAAATGAGTGAAGTGGGACACGACCACGTTCCTTGCACTTGCTTGCATTGGTTGTTGGTGCCATCCACTTCCTCTTTAAAATTTCAATTCATTTTTCCTTGAAGACTTGTCATCAATATAATATCAACCTCGTCTGCTGTAACAAAATCGAATTGTCACACATTTTGGGCAGAACAGCTTATGACATTAAACATTACCCACTATTTTAGAAGAAAATTATTATGTTGTATTGCAAATCATATTTTTTTTGTTTTCTTTCCTGTAAGCAATGCCCCCTATCTGCCTCTTGCCTGCTATAGTCATTCCTCTGTATTGCATGTCATGTTCCATATAATGTAGCGATTTAATACTTGTACTTTTTTAAAGGGTATTCTAAAATCCAATAGTCAAACTTTTAAACTATTCTAAACAGTGGATGAAGTTAGCATTGGCGCTTGTATGACATTTTTTTAAATTTCAGGAATAATTGTGAAATTGTGAAATCTGATTTTACATCAAGTGCATGAAATTGTTTTTTGAAACCATCAAGTAATAATTTCCCTGTTTAATTGATATTTAAAAACTTGAATAAGGTTTTCTTGCACTTTTCTTTCATTGTGTTGCCTTTAATTAAAACAATTAATTTTGCAACTTTTAAAACAAGTAATTTAAATATTTAAATCATTCCTAAGAGCCCATATTGAATGAGTGCTCTTGAAACTTTAAGATATTGAGCTGGCTTCAAAGAAATTAGTTTGTTATACAAGATCAATTATAATTACTGAAGGATTTTATTTGACAATGATGTGTCAAATACTAACTTAGTAAATATAGTTAGTATTATAACAATCTTAAATACTTCATCACTTAAAATGCAGCTAAAAGATGGTAGAATTTTGAGTAAAAGTAAACTCACTTTTTGAGCTTTTTGCTCCATCACTTATGAAATAACAATTGAATAGAGAAGTACTATCGGTCTTCTAAATTTACATTGCTGTAATGGATTGCACGTTGACAGTGTGGCTGTATGCTTTTCTCCCTTTATACTTACCCTTCCATCCCTTTGTTGAATTTGATTTCTAATCGGATTTACGTTGTGGTGGGAGCAATGTTTATTTGACTGAGGTTTAGATTGCTTGCCTGCCTAATTGTACCACATACAGGTGCACAGATCTAGTGGATTGGCTTAAGTGATGGCTTTGCAGAAAGAATGTTCTCTCTTGCTGCCAATCTGTTGTGATTTTCCAAGGAAGAGACAGCCATGCATTTGGGAGCAAGATGCGAACAATTGCTGGCTAGCTGATCATCTCTGTTTTTGTACGAGTTGAAATACTTAATTTGACTGAAGAACCCAATACATTTGTCTATAATGAAAACTGTATAAACTATAGTTCCTAAACTATTGAAGAATGTGTTTTAATTGTAATTTGAACAACATTATTACTTGGATTCTTGATTTAATCCTGGTCATTTGGATTGTTGTGATTACTGAACTTGGTAATAATGTTAATTATCCCATTTCCGTCTGTTCTCTACAGCTGTGGGTAAAACCACAATATATACATAATTTTTTTTGCCCCATTTTACCAAGTATTTTCTTCCTCTTTAGATACCTCTGCAGCATGTACCCTGACCAGAGGGTGGGCAGGCGACATGCTCTTGGCCTCTGACAATCTTACTGGAAGGTGTGTGAGAGTAGCCCAAGATTTTTTTCTTCTAACTTCCCTCTTTTTCTATTGGGAAGAATTGGACTTAACCTTGGCCTAGTTACTCTAAACAGCCTGGGAAAGATTGGCATTGTTCCTTGGAGGAACTTAAGCTCTCTCATATGCACCAACTTTCTGCATCACTGAGCTGCCTGCTGCATTCCCTAGTGTATATAGTGTATACAATATGATCAAGTGGCTAACTGGAAGCAGCATTCCAATTTTCAAAATCTTAATATTTCTCAGATTGATAAGCGCTATAGAATAGTTTTCAGATAAAATCAACTCTGTCTACTTATACTGTCAAATTGCATTTCACAGATAATGAGCCTGTTCCACGGCTTTACTCTGCTATCTGCAACATTGATGGGGTTCTGTACATTTGTATAATCAAAAGCAACAACTTGTCTTGCATGCAGTCTGTAAGAGAATAGCTTTGTGTGGATTTAACTTTAAATGCAAAATTGTATGCTGACTATAACACTAACACTTAAAACTGTAAGGGACACATGATACACACTTTAATTTTAATATTTTTTAAAATGTAAAGCATTAAAAATGAAGTTGTAAAATGCAAGATTTGATCTGAAGTGAATTCTTTGAAAAAAATTGGAAAGGATTGCTTGGTTTTGAGCCAATTTTGTACTGGATTCAAATTTGTTTCCTTTGTAAAATGGAAATTACACAAATGTGTGTTTAGAAACAAAATGATGCATGTGATAATTGAAAAGACTTCATGAGTACAACCTCAGTAGGTCATTATGAGGGGAGGGAGGAGGAGAAATGGTGTCCTGGTGGACAGCTGTTGATGGAGTTGCTGGAGGCCAGGCAGTAGATTGTCTTTTTACTCTGTTGGCTAAAGGAGATTCCTGTGGTCGGGCAAGACCAGAGAAATGAGGGAGAAGAGTGATTTATGCCCTTCGGCCTGCCAAATGTCGAATAAACAATGCAGCATACTGTAGCACCAATTTGTAATGTCTTCTGTTGTGTGAGGATTGTCATTCAAGTGTAAGTTGGCTCGTCTGGCTAATACACTTTTGTCACAGTGGATTTGTAACTGTAATAACATAACCTTAATGTTAAATTGTAGCGTCAGATTTGCATTGTTTGCCGAAGGAATGTTCCTTTAGGCCGTCAAAAATGTTCTTTTCTCTTGCAGTATCTGCTGTTTCATAGGCTCTCGCTGCTGCTGAAAACGTTTTGTAAACACAAGTGAACTTTAACTCTGAATGGAGGTTCCGTTGGAGTAACAAAATGTTATACTTAAGTTACCTGTACTGTATTTTTCTACATACTTTTAAAGTTACTCAAGTTTCCTACGGGAAATTTAGTTTGTAAAAAAAAACTTGTAATTTTTAAAAAAGAAAAGCATTTACGTTTTTAAAAAAAAATGGGTGTCCTGTACGTTTTTGAGGAAGTTTTGAAAAGTAAATTGTTTAATGTTTTATTAGAATAAATATTGAGTTAATTGTATGTGGCATGTTTGCAAGTTTGCCTTAAATGTAGTTGGAGCTGTGACATTGAGCATTGCATTGATTTGCAGTACATTTTAATTCTAATAGCTTGATTGTGTTGAAATATACAAAGCTCATTATCGTAATTAATTGGAGATTTGGAGAATTGCCATAGAATGGTCTGTAAGGTGCGATTTCTCTCATTGCAGGTTTTTCTGTGGGACATGGAGAAATACACAGTGATTTGCAAACTTGAAGGTCATCATAATGATGTGGTATCATGTGAATTTTCTCCTGATGGAGCTTTATTGGCTACCGCCTCGTATGATACACGAGTTGTTGTCTGGGATCCATATACTGGCTGTATTCTTTTGGAGCTTGGGTAAGTGATTAAACTTGTTTTTGTTCTAAATTTGACAAATATACCATCATGATTCAGTTCTGAGAATAATCTCAATTTAAAGCAAGTTCCAGTGGTGAGATATATAAAAAATAAGATTTGAAAATTTACTGTGGCCAAAAGATTGGAAACTCAAGGCAAGATTCCTACTTGTTAGCATATCTGCAAACCTTCATTGATAAAACTTCCATTTTTACTTGTTCGTTTCTGAGTGAATAGTTCGGACAGTTTTACTTGGCCAGATATTGAATTGAAATTCAAAATTGAATCTAACATTAGAATAAGAAAGAAGCTTGTGTAATTCAAATTACCCAAGTCCATATTTTTAAGGTTTTGACTCCTCAGTTATCAGATGGCTGTTTAGCTTACAAATGTCCATGTATTACTGTAGTTTGAAAGGACAAACAACACCTAAGTGTATATACCAGGTTAAAAAAACAAAAACAAATCTAGTTTGATTTTATGGAAACTTCTAAATGAAGAGCCCTATCTGAGAATTTCACTGTGATTTTTTTCCCCTTTTAGACATCTCTTCCCACCACCAACTCCTATTTTTGCTGGTGGGGCAAATGATCGCTGGGTGAGATCTGTTGCCTTTTGCCATGATGGTGTGCACATTGCCAGCATTGCTGATGACAAGTAGGTAGATGTTGAATGCCCTCCAGAAGTCTCCCCTAAGGAAGTTCTTTGTAGGCAGTTAAAAGAAATGTTACAAATAAGCATAGTCTTTGTTTGGGAGGAGACAGGGAATGAGAAGAGGTATAAATCCAAATGAGCTAAACTTCTCTTTGACCGAGCCTTCAGCTCCCCTCTCGACTCTCTTCCCCCTCCTCGCTCCCTCCCTTCCCTCCCCTCACCCTGACCATTTCCCCCCTCCTCGCTCCTTCCCTCCCCTCACCCTGATCATTTCCCCCTGCTCGGGTCATGACCCAACTGTGCAGCGCCTTGGGACGTCCTCCTGACGTGAAAGGCGCTTTATAAATGGAATCTTGTTGTTGTTGTTGTTTGTACTATACTTTGTATCAATCAAGCTTGTTTTTGAAAGCATTCAGCCTGTCTTAAGCATTTCATCTGCTTCAACATTTCTGGTCAATACGATATGTACATATGTACCTAAGCAACTATTACAAATAGTGTTTTTTTAGATAATAATAATCCTTGCATTTGCTATAGCATATTATCATGTCATCAAGTCGTCTCAAGACGCTTCACAGAATATGTAAAGTGGATTGACTGTATTTTGTGGGCGGAAACGAGAACAGAGCTCTGTCAGATGGAGGCATTATGCACTTGGATTATGTCATATAGGGGAGATTTTCGAAGCGTAATAATCCCTTGGGGAAAAAAAATGTTGTCACTCAATCCACAACTTGTGGGACTTGTTTGTGGGACACTGCAATGTACAATTGGCTGCTGCGTTTCGCCCACAAAATATAGTCATTTCACTTCACAGTATATTCTGTGAAGTGCTTTGAGATGTCTCAAAGCCATGATAAGGCGTTATATCAAATACAAGGATTATTATTATATTGTAGGAGAACAAGGCGGCCAATTTGTGTGCAGTAATGTCCCGAGCCACGAAGTTAATGACCAGTTTTTGGCCAAGACGTATAGTATGGCTCTTAATAGTTGCTTTCGTTGACCACTCCAGTTCAGTATATTTTTGTTCCAAATTTTCCAGGCAGTTGTTCAGTGGAGTACAATAGTTGAATTTGAGTAAAATTCCAGTTGGATTGAAGCCAACTGGAAGAGTTCTGTTTTGACTTTGGAGTGGATTCAGCCAGACAGAACTCGGATCAGGCTGTGAACATCTCACAGAGATTTTCTTGCGATTCAGACCTTTTCCCTCTTCCAAAGAATTCACAATATAATACAGTACAGCACCCCCTGGGAGAAAGTCGCAAAGCTGTTTCATTTGGAAAAGAAACAGTAAAATGAGCTCATACAGATTGTTCCAAGAAAAATGTTGGTCTTGGAGTGGGGGATGAATTTCATTGTGTGATAATTTGGACCAGATGGACCTGGTCTAAATTCAGTTCTTGAGTGATCCCAGTTTTCTTTGATACTTAAATTACTTTCAATATTGGATGCACACACATAATCCTTGCATTTTTATATAGCGCTTTTCATATGTGGGTCTGCAGTTGAAAGCTGGTGGTTTGGATTTGAATTGTACATTTCAAATGTCTTTTTACAGCCGTAAAAAGTCATTTTTAATGGCTGCAACAGTATAAACTGCTGTCGCCAACATAGAGGGCAACAGCCTTCCTTAGGTATTTCAATCTAATGCACAATGCTTAATGATGTATATTGAACCTTTTATATTTTGGTATCACTTGTGTAAAGATAGCTAATTTTCTTCATGTTTCAGAATGGTGAGGTTCTGGGGGATTGAAGACAAGAGCCCAGTGGAAGTAGCTCCTCTGAGTCATGGACTCTGCTGTGCCTTTTCTCCAGATGGTAATGTTCTTGCTACAGGGTAGGTATAGAGCTATTCAAAAAAGTCACTTATTTGCTAAGGGATAACCTGCTGATTAATTTAGATCTGATCTTATTATTTATGCTCTCACTGTTTGTTAAATACAAGTGAAATACAAGAATTTGTACATAAGCAACTGCTCCAAATCAGGTTAATATGACTGTTTTCAGACAATAATCTTGCATTTGATATAGCATCTTGTATCGTCAAGACGTCTCAAAGTGCTTCACATTTTATATTGGAAAGTGGATTAACTATTTTGTGGGCGAAACAAAAATACAATACAAAATAATTATTATAAAAAGGGGTAATATATAGAGCTCTACTTTATGAACTTATTCAAAATTTGAATGAATCTTTATTCCCTGTCCACACTAATAACAAGGTCTATGCTGCTACTTTTTAATGCAGAGGTATTTTTCTTTCAAAATTGGGCTATGTACACTGCTGCATGGGAAAGGTTTAGAACCATCAATATGAAGAGTGAGATTTGTACCACTTGTGATGTATGTAATTGTGTGAATGGTGATCTGTTATTGGGTTATATCAGTTAGTTATACCATTATTCTTAATGAGCTGGCACTTAGTAGGCCATAGTATCAAGACAGCCTGATTAATATTAATTGTGCATTTCTCCCTTCTCTATTCAAGGACACGTGATGGTAGCGTTTATTTTTGGGCCACACCAAAGTATGTTTCCAGTCTTCAACATCTCTGCCGCATGACTATACGAAGAGTGTTGAACACCACGAACGTTGAAAAACTGCCCATCCCATCAAAAGTGATGGATTATCTGACATACCGGGTCATGTGACCAGTTGGAGCCGGGTAATTTAAGAGGGAACAACGTGTGTGGTGCATCTGGTGTTTGTATAATTGAGCTTGTATTTGCTTGAAATGTTACAGCTCTTAGCTTCTCCTCCAGTTCATATATGCTATTTTACCGATATAAAAATGTACATATTTTGTAAACAACTTGTAAACAAATTGTAAAAAATGTTGCTTATACCATGTTTTTCTATTTCTGTGATTGAAATGTGTTTGCTGTATATACATGTCCTGTAAAGGTGTATTGGATGCTGCATTTTTTTTAAAAAGAGCAGCTCTGACTGGGAGAGGGGGGGAAGATGGAGTACAAATGTCAACTGCCAAAGAATTGAACAAAGTGATCGCTTTTGTGAACCATTGCATGAAAATACAAACTGAATAATGAATGTACTTCTTTCAAATGTAAATTTTTATTTTTGTTCTGTTGGAAGGCTGCGAAAGAATTAAAAATGCTTCAAAATTTGCATTCCTCCCCCATGATCTTGTTTAAATGCAAGTTTGTTTGCAAACAAGTGCACAGTCCCTGCACTTCTCAATAAAAATCATGTAAAGCGTTTGGAATGTTTTGAGGATGTAAGTTGCTATACCAAATGCAAGGATTATCTGTTCAATTTTCCTATCAGAATCTACGCTGAGCTTCTAAGGGACTTCTACATAACAACAACATTACATTTGTAAAGTGCCTTTCAGGTCTGGAGGACCTCCCAAGGTGGTGGACAGTCAGCGTTTCAGACCCGAGCTGGGGCCGAATTCTCAAGTGGCTTCAAGATAAAAGCAGTGAGCTGTTTAGTTCTGATATACAATCTATTCAATGTGATAGCATTTCTCAAATTGGGGGTCCTTTTTAATAAAATGGAGTCTTAATGATTTTCTGATGGCAGCAAGGTTAGACAACTGTATTCCTCAAATGACCTAACTCAAGTGAAGTCTACCTTTGCCAGGTCAGCAAGCTCATTGATGAAGGACGTCAGAAGTTGGTGCACAGATTGGCAAAGTGGTTCAAAATTACAAAGTTGGGGTACCGGTCAAAAAAATGCTAAAAAGCCACAGCGAGGCCAGTTATTAGCTGATGAAAGTTTGAGAGTACCTGCTTCAATGTTTGGATGATGCTCTCATTGCTCTCGTCTGTAACCCAGAGAAGCAATCCTTTGCTTGGTCTCCCGAAGTTTTCGATTTGTATTCTCTAGTTCTTCAGTGACCGCTTTTCCAAGGATTCAAGAGGAGGTGGTGAGAGCTTCTTTGTTGCACATGATTCACAATTGGCCTCAGCTCTCATGAGCAGTCAGTGGGCAGCGAGAGATGAAGGGACACACTAGAGGGTCTTGGGGCTGTGGAGATTATCTGAGATATGCTTTCCACTGGCGCTGAGGTGGCTGTGAGCCACACAGACCTTTCATGAGTTGCTTGTGGCTCTTCAACAAGGTTCAACAATGTTGGGTCAGGTTATCCTACGGATGCTTACGCAGCTCTTAAATGGACAACAAACAGGTTGTTGGTTCTCTTCAATGTGAAATGAGTTATCCCTGAGTAAGGGCATAATGCTGAAGAAAAAAATATGAAAATTATTCAATAAATATTGCCATGGTCTGGAGAAAGAGCCTGGTGGTGTACATATTATTAATAACAAAGATAGCAACTGGCAATTTTTTTGAGGTAGCTGAATATCTGACATGTGGAAAGAGTCTTAAGAGTCCATGCTTGAGAGTTACCAAACTACTGAGTTCCACATAAGAATGGAAATTTCCAGTTGTTGGCACTCAGTAGCAGAAAACTCCCAGGAGAGATGTACTCTGTTTCCCTAATCCCGGAGAGGTTAGGTGCACGATCCAAGATAGCACTGCAGTTTGCCATTCCAAACACTCGTATCCTAATAATAAATAAATCATAAACTGGTCACTCAATCCACAGTTGTTTGTGGAATGCTACTGTGTGCAATTGGCAGCCAAGTATGTACAGTCAATTCACTTTACAGGATATCAAGCGGGGTCTCCTTGGAGCTGAACTGGCTCCAAGATGACACATTTGGCAACAGAACATTAACTTCTGTGGCAGCCTCAGTAGTCCGGTTCCTGAGCCAGGTGGGACCACAGTACTCCTTGGTGTTAAAATACCCCCGAAATTTGAAAATGCCTAACCTTTCCAGAGCCACGCTGATTGTCCCTCAATAAGAAGACCAAATTGGTCAACATAACAAGGCCAAGCAACGGGCCTGTCGTGATACAAAGGGGGTCCCCAGGGCGACCTGCCAAGGCACTGCTGGTGTCAGAGCACAGTCGGCTGCCGCATTGGCAGGACTTGGAAGAGCTGACAAGTCACTGGCAGCAAGGTCTCGTCCCACTCTTCTCCCATTCTCTACAACATCAACAGGTTGCACTTATGTAGCACTCTTCATAAGGGTTGCGTCTTGGGAATGCTAAGCAGTGATGGAGTTTGACACTGAGCCAGAAAGAGGAGGGAGGTGACCGTAGGGAACCTGAAAGCAGATTGCTCAACAAAGTCAGCAGTCAAAATTGGAACCGTGCCCTACTTAAGGAGAAAAAGGGTCTTTCAGTAATAGTTCCCACTGCATGCTATATTCCCCTTTAAAAATTTTTAAAAATATAACCAGGTTCTACATGCTGGAGAAGCATTACCATGCATTTTTCATCAGAAAGTGCTTTATCTCCTGCAGCTGCAATTATTTGTTGTAAGGTTCAACGAGTTTGCCAAAAGACGCACTGAATCGAAGCACAGCTGCTACAAACAGGCGAGAGCTGGATTTTTCCAGTCACTGAATTGCAGACAAACTAGTAACCCTTTAGGTTCATTGGGGTTTTCTTGTAATGTTCAAAAATCCAGTGTTTGAGTGTCTCTGTGCTCCTGTGGTTTAGCAGTGAGTTTCTGATCTCATCTGCACTTTCAAAGCAAAATACACATCACTTTTCCTCGCAAGTAACGAACCGGGAGAATATTGGGATCCTCCAATATTTGCCAAGGCCCCTAGTGTGAGGATCTGGATTAAACAGCTGGTGCTGAGTAAACTTGGCACCGGAAAGATGTCAACTCAATCCAGATGTTAACTCGTGAGGTTAACATGTGATTGTTGAGCGGGTGCAGGTTTGGGCTCAGCTATGATAGCACTGTAGTTGAAAAAGTTGTCAGATGTGAAAAACATTTTACGTGGGAGGAAGAGAAAGATATCTGATGCTTCCTGACTGCTCAAGGGATTCAAACTGCACTAAAATCAGTTTTTCATGTGATAACCCACACTGTTTTAGAACAGCTATGTCCATAGTGAGCTCTTAATGCAAATATGTGCACATGACAGTGCCTTCAGAATTTCTGGAAATCCATCCCGGAATCCCTCTGGCCATCTCAAGATCTTCCTTTTTGACCGTGCCTTTGGTCCTTCCTCCCTTCAACCCCTTTCCCTCCACCCCTCTTGATTCCAACACCCAGCTCAAGTGCAAACCCTTGACTGTCCACCGCCTTGGGACGTCCTCCTGACGTGAAAAGCGCTATATAAATGCAATTCATTTTTGTTGTTTGTTGTTGCTGACATTGAACCAGCTCCAATGTCTGGTTGGCAGAGCGTAGCAGTCAAGCTGTGGCCAGCAGTGCTTGACTTAATGCTTTTGAGGAGCAATCAACTCAGACAACCAAATGGTGTTCATTAATGGTGCTCGTTGTCTTTTACAAACATGAAGATTCACACCAATAAACTATTAAGTGAGCACTCTGGGTCTTGGAGGAAATTCATTGGTGGAGAATGTTAAAGGTCAGAGCAGGGATCTTATTCAAGGCCAGAGTATCTAGCCCTCTGCTACCTTCAGATTTCCAGAAGAATTCTTAACAAATGAGGTAACAAGTAACAGCTCCTCGCAGATAATCTATGAGAAAATCTTATTTCATGTTATATTTACCAGGGAAGGTGAAGTGCTGCACACTTCTAGAAGATGCTGCTAATAATATTCCTTCCAATAAAAGAATAATTGACATTTATAACAGAACAGCTTCTGAGTGCTGAGAATAATAATAAAAATCCTTGCGTTTGATATAGCACCTTATCACACCGTTGAGACGTCTCAAAGTGCTTCGCAGAATATACTGTAAAGTGAAGTGACTGTGTATTTTGTGGGCGAAACGCAGCAGCCAATTGCGCACAGCAGTGTCCCACAAATAGTGGTGGATTGAGTGACTACAAATGCCTGCGTTCGATAGCCATGAGCCACGTATATCTCATGAAGGGTCTCGGTGTGGTTCAGTGTCAGTGGAAAGCATGCGTCTCAGATAATTCATGCAGACAATTTGCTTACAGAGAGACATGTGCATGGATGGCTATTTTAAACACATTACATGTATTGGGGGGATAAATTTCTCCAGTCAGGCTTTTCAAATGTTCATTTGAAATAGTCATCTTAAATAATACCCGTCTGACTAATCAAACACAATGGGAGTACTCGTGGTATTTGAGTGACAATATAATGACTGTGTATTTTGTGGGCGAATTGGTTTGACCAGGAGCTCAATGGGTAAATGTTCCATCCAGTTATTATACCTGAGCTACTTCTGGCACCTCACTGCAGTGCACTGTCATAGATGTTCAGGAGCAGATGGAACTGCAGTGTGGAGCCCCTGTTGTTGGGATTGATAGAGGAAAGATCCAGTTCCTTCATTCAATGTAAACTGCTGATGTGGTTGGTATGTTCTCAGTGTGCTGACACAGTGTTAAATATTGATTATATCCTTTATCTTGCGTGGAACATAAATGATACGCAGTTAAACAGATTGTTTTTTTCCTCCCTCAAAATGACCTTTAAGCTTTGCATAGCGGCACCACTTGTTGAGAATCATCAGCTTTTTGGGTCCATTAAGTTTTATGACACGAAGCCAAGCGAGCACAATTACAGGCAATGTTGTGAGCAGCGTTAATTTCATGGAAAAAATAAGATCCGAGATTAAAAAAAACACCATTAAGTGTTGCCATTAAATCAGGATGTGTGTATCCACTGTTATTAATTGTTTCTGCTCACCCTTGGGTGATACTATGAATTTGACTCCCAACCCACAACTCCAATTTGTGCTTTGTAATGGGCCACAAACAGCCATGAAGAAAACAAACAATTTGATATGGGAGAATTATTAGCCAGGACATCAGGAGGAACTCCCTTCTCTTTTCAAACAATGCCCTGAGATTTTTTAACGTCCACCTGAACAAATAGATGGGACCCCAGTTTAATGTTTCATCTGAGGTGCTCCCCTAACATTGCACTGGAGTGTCGGCCTCGACTATGAGCTCACAGTCCTGACATGGGGGCTTGAACCCACAACCAGCTGAGCTTGTCCGAAAGTTAATTGTACAGGTTAGCAACTGTCTTTGCCTTCCTAACAGTCACTGTCTAATAATAATAATCCTTGCATTTGATACAGCACTTTTCACGTCTTCGAGATCGCTCAAAGCGCTTCACAGAATAGACTGTAAAGTG